AAATAAGTTAAAACTTCTTTCAAATCTAAAAATATTGTTTCCACTTCTCGACCCCCGAAACTGTCGCATATGTATCTATTTGTATTTGGTCCAATCAGAACTTTATGTTTGGGAGCTAAAAAATATGAATTTGTCATTGTAGATGACTATTCTAGATATACATAGGTATGCTTCTTGGCTCAAAAATATGAGTCTTTCATGGTCTTTGAAATATTTTTCAAAATAGTTCAAAATGAAAAAGGTCTTTGTATTATTAGAATTTGAAGTGATCATGGAATCGAATTTGAAAATTCTGATTTCAAAAACTTTTTGTGAAAAGAGTGATATCTTTAACAACTTCTTTTCAATGAGAACTCCTTAACAAAATGAGATAGTTGAAATATAGAACTAAACTTTACAATAAATGACTAGAACACTTCCTTGTGAATACATTACCAAAACACTTCTAGTAGAAGCAGTAAACATTGCCTGTTATATTCAAAATAAAATATTGAATAAGACTCCCTATGCATTGTGGAGGGGAAGGAAACCCAACATCATACTTCCATCCTTTTGGATGTGAATGCTATGTCTTAAATTCTAAGGATCAACTTGGAAAGTTTGACTCCAAAGTGGATAAAGGCATATTCCTTGGATATTTGGATACTTCAAAGGCATATAAAGTCTATAACTCTAGAACCTTTATTGTTGAAGAATTAATCCATGTAAAATCTAATGACACTTTAACCACTAATAGGAAACTATCAGATATAGAAGAGAAATTTGCAAATTTGTTGATTAACCTTGAGCAAATGAAGGTAACAAATGCAACAAAGTAAAAAATAGTTAAAGAATAAACCAATCAACCCAACGAAACCTCCAAATCTCATAGAGATTGGAAGTTCATAAACTATCACACTCAAGATCAAATCCTCGGAGGTGTTGATGACATCATATTTGGTACTACTAATGAATCTCTATGTGAGGATTTTTCTAAGCTTTTGCAGAAGGAGTTCAAAATGAGCTTGATGGGTGAGCTCAAGTTCTTTTTAGGATTACAAATCAAACAAATAGACAAGGCATATTCATTTATCAACAAAAATATACAAAAGAACTTCCTTTTAAGTTTAAGATGAATGACTACAAATCAATGCCTACACCTATGCATCCATTTGTAGGTTTGTCAAAAGACGAATCAGGTAAACTAATAGAACAGCCGATCTATAGAGGTATGATTGGCTCACTCTTATACCTAACTACTAGTAGACCTAGCATTATGTACCGTGTATACCTATGTGCTTGTTTTCAATATGATCCTAGAGCATTTTATCTTAAGGCTATAAAATGAATATTCAGATATCTTGTAGGTACTACTAACCTAAGTCTGTTCTATGAGAAAAGCGATAATTTTAGGTTAGTAGGATTTTATGATGCAGATCACGCTGATGATAGGATTGAAAAAGGAAAGTACAAGTGGAGGATGTCATTTCGTAGGTTCTCGTCTCATTTCATGGGCAAGCAAAAAATAGAACTCCATAAATTTATCTACTCCTAAAGCATAATACATCTTTGCAACTAACTATTGTTCACAGTTATTATGGGTGAAGTATCAATTGAAAGATTATTCTAATCTTGAGCATAATATACCTATTTTCTCTAACAACATTAGTACTATCAATTTATCTAAAAATCTCATACAACATTTTAAGGCTATGTACATAGAGATAATATATCATTTCATTCATTATTATGTACAAAAATGAATTTTTGATATAAAATTTATTGATATTGATCACTAATAGACTTATATTTTTACCAAAATCCTAGCTAAAGAATGTTATAGATTCATTAGAAAGCATTTTAATCTAAAATGCGTATCAGACTAAACATCGTCTTACTCATAAGTCATATCAGACTAAAAACAACTTTACCCTAAATTTAAGGCATTAAAAAACATATTTAAGCTTATAATTTATGTGATTATTTTTTTTCATTTATAATTATTCATGATAAATTTATGTGAAAAAATAATTATTATTTATATTTAAATCAAATATTTAAAAAGTACTATCATATATCAATATGTGATATTTGAACATATATGATTAACACATGTCATCTGCATATGATTGACATGTGTTATTCAAACTTGCAAATGAATTCACGTATATATCTGTAG